GGGGGGGGGGGGGGGGGGGGGCGAATGTCCATCGAGCACTTGACCAGACTCGTTGGGCATGAGAGGATATGCCTCTTCTCTAGGTTTTCCTTTAACAGGAAGACCTTTACTTCATTTAGGCTTCCAAATTCTACCACTGATTCCCCTATCAAATCGATTGGTTCTATCATTTCCTCTTCCATGTTGTTTCCTACGTTTTGAGCTACTGGGGGATTGAGGTTAATGTTCTCCATAGGAACTTCCATGTTGAAGTTCTGAGGTTGAGGTTGTTGGTGATTTTGAGGGGAATCCCATTGCATTAGGATGGGGTTCACAGCCGTTAGTGCTTCCGGTGGGAAAAATGGTAAATCTAGACCTAGGTTCTGGGGGAGAATTGGGACAGGATTGAAATGAGGGGAAGGTTTCATTGGCCTCTCATTTCTTGCACTAGGTTGGGGTTCAAAGCTGGGGCTAAGGGTTGTAAGATATTATTCACCCATACATCATTCAAGTAGTTGTTCATGGCCAAATGTAGTCCTCCGGACACAAGTTGGGCTAGGTATCTCGCATTTTGTAATACATATAATACACCCTTATATATACATATATATATATAAGGCAATATATAATTATATATACACATAATACACCCTTATATATACATACTCTACATACTATATATACTATATATATATTTATATAGCTATATATAAGCAATTTATACTAGTATATACATATATAGTTTACAAGAAAGTGCCTTTGATAATAAAAAAAACGGAACGAAAAAAGCCCGTTAGGCTCGTTTAGGCCCGCGGGCCCGACCCATTTAGCCCAGGACCATGTGGGCTTAGGACCACCATGGGCCGGTTCCACACTTTGGGACCGTGAAGCCCGGGACCATTTGACCCGGGACCGCCAAAGCCCGACCCGCCTAAGCCCAGGCGCATTTGGCCCAGCCCGTTTAGGCCCATTTGGCCCGGGCCCGGACCACAATACAACCTTATGCCTTGTCATTTCAATCACAACATTCAATCTACATAGCTTTCTTTTAGCAATCGACCTTAGAGTATAATACCAATTTAACTTGCCTTATTTTCAATTGGAGAACTTACAGAAATGTCCCATATAAGTTTCAACTTACCAACCTCTAGCCAATATTCCAAAAATCGAAACAAACAAAGAATTTTTTTAATGGGTATAGTCGAAATTCATTGAAAACGTATAAATAAGTCAATATACAAAATTTGAGGAAGATTGGAGGTGATTTGGACTGAATTTATATCAAAATTCATAATTAAATCGATGTCAAAAAATTCTTCTGTGACACATGTATCAAACATGTATCACCCATGTATCTCACACACAGATATACATGGATATACATGTGATACACAATCGATACAAATATGATACATATGTTATACACAGTGTGATACACGTATCATTTTTTTTCATATTCAATTTTTACTTCGAATTTTCAATTCAAACCACCTCAAAACTTTACCAAATCATCCCAAAACTGAGATTCAAGCTCCTTAAGATATACCCAATCTATTCTAATAGCACTCACTCAAAAGAAAGTAAAAATTTAATATTTTTTTGCTACAAATAGCTAATTGGCCATTTTGGCTAATATTAGTAATATTTTATCAATTGACCAATTTTTATAATGAGCTACTTCTCAATGGACATAGCTGGTAATTTCCCTTTTCAATTACATATCTCATATTATTTTGGCGGTCGAAGATTTTCATACAACCATCAACATAGAAATTTGAAAGGTGTCAAATTTTCATAACTCGGCCAACATTTCCTCATAGCCAACACAGATTAAATGTAAATACTCACATTCAATATTAAACCCAGCAAAATTTTCCAGTATTATCAACCACAGTCAACGTAAATACTTGACGCGCAATATTTAATTGGTTGCCATGTTATTAGGTAAATTTCATAAATAATCATATAATTATAATTTTTTTTATATTAAAGTCATATAACTATATTATTTCATAAAAAAATCATAGAACTTCATAGTGACCAAAAATAACAATTTTTCGATAATACTTATTCCACATTTATTGTTGTTTTTAACCTAATAAATAATAACTCAATTAAAATAAAATAAAAATATTTTTAGCCTCCCAAAAACAATAACCAATGTAATATATATGCGTTTTATGCACGTGCGCACACACCCTATATATTAGCTAATAGCTAATGCACCGATCAATTTTATATATTTTTTTAAATAAAAATAATCCAACCCAACACAATACCCATATACAATAAATTAAAATAATACTAAAAAATAAATCCTTTCCTAAACAAAACCTTACCTATATATTAGCTAATAGCGAATGCACCCGATCAATTTTATATTTTTTTTAAAATAAAAATAATCCAACCCAACACAATACCCATATACAATAAATTAAAATAATACAAAAAATAAATCCTTTCCTAAACAAAACCTTAGTTTAATGCATGATATTTTGACACTGCTAATGCACAAAAACTAAAATATTACAGGTAGGTGCAAATACCAGAGCATTGTCCAAAAAGTATTATTAACAAAAAGTAGCCAAATTAACCCTAATAATACAACGGAAACATAAAAATACTACAAATACAACAATTTCACGACACCTAGAAAAGCCACCTGGAAAAATACCAACAAAAAACAAAATTCAAACTTACGACACCTGCCATCAGCACTGAATTATTACATCATCATGATATAATATATTAACCCGTAATATTCCAAAATTCTAATTTAGAGTTCCTCATCTCGTTTTTTACCAGCTATATTATCCTTAATTTCCTTTGTTTTTTCCTTTGCTGATTCCAAATTTGAAGCTATATTTTCCTTTGCTTTTTCCAATGTTTCACCTGCTTTTTCCTTTGCTTCTTTAGCTTTCTCTTTGGCCCAACTCATATGTTCTTCTGTTTCTCTTTCTGCTTTCTCTCCCATTTCTTTCATTTGCTCTTTTGCTTCTTCTGCTTTTTCTGTTGCTTTTTCTTTTGCTTCTTCTGCCTTTTCTGATGCTTTGTGTTTTGCTGTTTCTGCATCTGAATATGCTTTTTCTTTTTCTTCTCCTGCTTTTGAATAAGCTTCGCTTGATTTTTCTGTTGCTTTTTGTTTTGCTGTTTCGTATGCTTTGTTTTTTGCTTCTTCTGCTGTGTTCTTTAAATCTCCTGCCTTGTCTGCTACGTATTGTCCTGTTCCTGCATTTCAATCATATTTTTCCATACTTCAACTCAGCATCCACATTTTTATAATAATCACTACTAGAACAACGAAAATTAACTACGGACAAATTCGTCCCACAGATTATCAAAAAAATTATAAAATTGTGTTAGCTGCAAGCAATTTAGCGGCTTTTCATTTTTTTTTTTTTTTTTTTTTTTTTTTTTTTTTTGGTGGTGAGTGACATTTAAGTTTCATGCTTCACTGCAGCAAAGGGCAGTCCAATGCAGGGGACGAGGCTCGAACTCGAACCACAAGGGTCTAGGACTCGAACCATTCAGCCAATTAATTTCCGCCAATTTCCGCGGTGAGTGCTAAGTACTACTATTAATAGTTTGCAGGATTTCTAGAATAGGAATTGGCTTTTTCTTTAGAGCAAGACTCTTTGCTTGCTTCTCTCCGCAAGCTCAGCGGATGAGTGGCCGTATTCGACACCTCTTTCTCTTACGACTAGTGCGTTAAGAGAGTAAGCTCTCTACATAGTAGGTAAAAATATATATGCTACATAGAACGGAAAATGTAAGAAAAATATTACACCGTCAACTTATATACTAAACTTAAAAAGACAACTAATTATAAGTTCACACTCTTGTGGAACAATTATACTGCAAGTAAAATTACACTTAGACTATGTATATAAGTTAATTACATTTTAATCTATGTCAACCTTGGTACAAAAACACTATAAATTGATACTTCCCCCTCCCAATCCCAATCAATTTATCGTAAATATTTTATTATGGTGCTCGAATCGAGAGTCAAATTCTTTTTGACAGCGAAAACAAACATAAAATATATGTAAACTAAACTACATAAAAAATAAAATAAAAACAGTATAAGCCAAAATAATTAACCTGTAGCAGTATCAGTAATCTTGTCTTTGGCATTCTTAGCAGCATCCATAGTTGATTCAGAAGCTTGTTTAGCAACAGAATCATCATCAGTAGATTTAAAACCAAGACCTTCAGAAATCTTATCTTTAGCCCATCCTGTCCAAGACTCTGAATTCTCTTTACTTTGCTGCTGCTCAATTTCTTCATTATTTTCCTTACAAATCACCAAACCAGATATAGACATAACCACAAATCCAACTAATAACAACACATAAATCAACTCCCTTAAGTTTCTTGAACCCATAATTGTATTAGCCAACTAACTATATGTGAAGAATACTATATCAGCAATGAAGTGATGGTACCACACAATCAAGAAAATGATTTGGTTGAGGGGGGAAATTTTTTCAGATATATATAAGTAGAATTATGCTATAGGTTAGTGGACGAGTGGCATAATACGTGGGCACACGTGTCAGTTGCATGGCTATTGTAAACACAGTAATCAATATGAGCTCTCTACGTGTCATTCAATATCTAATATTAGGTTTGGCTCTGTGTATTCATTGTTTGTCTCTATGTCTATCTTTACACTTAGCCCTTGGGTTTGAACACTGCTCTAGAATGTTTGCAAAAAACAATTTTGTTGAAAAGATATCGAAAAACATTTTTGAAATGGTAATTTAAGGTTTGAGTTCAGTTAGTTTTTTGAAGAAAAATATTTATTTGTAAAACCATTTACTACTACTACTACTATTTCAAATTTCCACATTATCTATCTGTCAACTTATGTTAATACCATAACAAATTAACAATATTCAAAAACAACACGTACTAAAGTATGGTTATTTTGTCATATCGTACCAAATTATATCTGTCATGTTAGAAGGATGTTATTCCAAAATAACATGTACTAGATTATGATGAACATGCTCATTTCTATAAAGTAGGATGTTAGTCAATGTATTGGGCCTGGAAAGAAGGGAAATATATATTATAATTAGTGTATATTTTTCATATAATTAACTAGGGAATATAATTATTTTTGGCCGACCGGCCAAAAATATGGTAAAAATAGCATGGTATAGCCAATTTTCGGATTGGTCATTCAAAAATAGTCAGCGTTTACGAAGTCAATGAAAAATAGTCACTATTTTGCTGCAACAGAGACCGATCCAGCATAATATATTGGAGTTCGGTGCACCTGTGTATGAACTCCAGCATATTATGCTGGACCGATATACTTTGCCGACTCTAGTATAATATAAAGCATCGATGCTCCAAACTCCAGTATATTATACTGGACAATTATACTTGCTGGAACTTCAGTATATTATGTTGGAGTTCTAGTGTACTTATGCTGGAACTCCATCATATTATGCTGGAATTCCAGCATACTTATCCTGGAACTCCAGTATAATATGGTGGAGTTCAAGCATACTTATGCTGGAACTCCAATATATTATGTTGGAGTTCTAGTGTACTTATGCTGGAACTCCAATATAATATACTGGCGTATTTTTCGGGTTTTGAACAGTGTTTTCGCTCAAATTTATGTTTATATAAAAAGTGACTAAATTTCGATTACTTTTAAAATTGGGCTATTTTTGAACGATCAGTTGTAAATCTGACTATTTTTGAATTTCTCCCAAAAATATGCTTTACAAAGAATGCAAATGAATTTCGCGCATTAGGCCCAAGCTAAATGGGTCACTTGTCCAAAGTACAAAATATATAGAGATTTTTACCTAGCTATACTGTATTAGAAACTTATTTACCTATATTCTCTATATTTTGCAGTTTTTAATAAGTATCTAGGGTTTTCTTACAACTTATATACATTGCTTCTTAAAAGGCTCTGACCCATTATTAGTGCCTTCAATTAAGGAATTCAATTACATCCTTTCCTTTTTTTCCCCTTCTCCTCTTCTCTTTTTTTTTTTAAAAAAAATCAAAATCCCTTAATCTACGTCCAGGATCTCCATCTTCTCTCTTCACCATTGCCTACAGCTTTATATTATTAAAAAATATTCAGAAATTGTATGATAACTATATCATAATTGTAGTTGAATTGTATCGGATATATCAATGCCTAAAACATATATGTATCATACTTATATCACAATTGTATCTAACTTATATCTGGTACATTAATACCCAAAATAACACCTGATACGATACTAATAAATTAATATACAATTATCATATTTGTGATACAAATTGTGAAATTCATCACGAATTCACATCTGCTCGTAACAACATACAATGAATATACAATTATCACACATTTGTAATACAATTCCTGCAACAATTATGATACATATACATCTATAATACAATCGCGATACATTTCTAAAAAATTATGATACAATTATAATTTTCATCTTCCTCAAGTTTCAATCACAACTCTACACTAAAAATTTAATATAATAATATTATAATTGTATTAGTTGAATTTCTTCTATATTGTATAAATAAGAAAGAGATTTTGGATGATTGAAAGAAAGAATCGAATATCAAAAGCTTTGGAAGAGGAGTGAGTACGTGAGATATTTGGGTTCGAAAGATTTTGGGTATCAGTGGGTAAGGGAGAATTCTTAAGATGGTAAGTATAAATTTGGATAATTGTTAAAGAAAGAGAGAAGATGTGTTTTTGTAATCCTTTGGAAAAGGAAGAGAGTCTTAAATGTAGGGGGATTATGTGTAACTGATACGCTATATTTAAGGTATGTTGTCTTTTCTCTTTTTTATGGTTTTGTATAAAACTAGTAAATATAAGTATATAAAGTAATTAATAAGGAATCTAAATAAAGATAGTAAATATATTTTTATTATAGTATAACTAGGTAAAAATCTCAAATATATAGCCATAATCCAGGCCTCCTCAACTTGGTGACTGCATTAGCTAAGTAGTTTATACAGTCACAAGAAGGAATGATGCAACGAAGTTAGCAATTAAGTGCAGTTTATACAGTAGAAATGACACCTAAGTAGCCACTTCAAAGGGCTGCTATTTAGGAATTAGCCAGTGCCTCTTGAATTTCAGTTTTTTAATTAAATTTTTCAGAACAAAAATATCCTGAATTGTCCTGAAGTTAAGATTTTTAGTTTAAATTTCAGGATAAAATAAGTATTAGCTAATTGCTAAATAACATCCCTGAGAATGACTATTTGTGTATTTGCCCCGTTTATATACTTAAAAGAAATGACCGTCCATCTTGATATGTTTGGTTCGTTCATGAAACAAAAGATTTCGGATTATATAAAGTGCAACTTTATTGTATAAAAGAAGAGCTAATATAGAAGTAACAAAAAGTATTCCTAAGGCCTTGAAACAATATGTGCAGCAATTCCAATTCATCAAATACATTTCTCATAGATCTACATTATGCTCCAGCAAAATGAAAAAGAAAATGGTGTATTGTTCTTTAAAAAAAATGGGAGCTAGATGCACCAAAAATGAATAAAGAAACTAGCTAGTAACACTCCTTGCTATCATTTGAGAAAACTCCCCAATCTAGGTCACATACCTTAGAAACTCTAGGCTAGAGTATATTTGCAACGAGGGGCATAACTACAACTCTATTTTACGGGTTCGATAGAACCTAATAACTTTGATTTAAATTTTATTTTCGTGTTTAGAAATCATTTAATATATATAAGTAATTTATTCATAACCCAATAAGCTACCTTTTTTATAATTTAAAATCTCTAGATTCTTTTCTTTTGAATATCCTTTTAGTCTAGTCTAGTCTTAAACTCATTAAGTGGACTAACAACCTTATGTTTACCTTGCGATTCTATTAATTACGCAACAAAAGAAAGTTAATTTCTCATATGACCATATAACTTATAATTTTTTCTACTAAAAACAATAAACTAACTTATTTTATGGTGTGGATGTGAGGGATATTTAATGATTTATTTATGTATTTTCATTTAAATATAACGTTAATCTTAACAAAAAACACTTAATTTTGTATATCCTATCGTGACACATTAAAAGATTAACAAACTCATATCCTTCACAAATTCCACTTGACTTTGCATAGTCACACTGTTATTAATCATAAAAAGATTATCAGTCTGGAAAAGAAAATATTTTAACAACTTGAGTTAAAGCTTGTCTTCCCATTAATGGCCCGTTTGGCCATAAATTTTTTTTAACATTTTCGGAAATTTTTAACTTTTTTTCAGAATTAGTATTTAACCATGAAATTATCAATTTTCACTTGAAAATAAATTTCAAAATTTTCAAAAATTTGAAAAACTCAAAATAACTGTTTTTCAAAAGATCACTCACAAAAATTCAAAAACAACCTAAATTCTATATTCATGTCCAAACACAACTAATTTTCAAACACCATTTTCACTTTTAAAAAAATTATTTTTTCCAGAAATTTTATGGTAATTCTTATGTCCAAACGTCCACTAAAACTGAAGAGAGGCAACGCTTTGGAATATTAACCACCCTTCATCTTTACCAAATGGTGAGATTGTGGCTCTGGATCATTTCTAAATAAGAGCAATATAGGCCATTTTATAAAGAGATCTTTACACAAATAACCTATCAGGTTTGCGGTTTACTCATTACTGTGTTGGTTATATCTTTAAGCAGTTCTCTTATATTTTATACTGAGGTAATATTACATACTGTGACGTTTGTCAATTTAGCCCGACCTAACGACGTCGTTTTACTGTTATGCTTTCTTCCTTCCTTACCATATATAAGCTCGACTCAATCCACCTCTTATCCTAAAGTTCATCTTCGAACCAAAAAAGCCATGGCTTGTACTTCACTTTCACTTTCTTTTCTTCACAACGCTTGCGCCGATAACAAGCAGCTGACTCTTTCATTCCGTACCAAATTGGTGACGTCAGCTCGGCCTCTTACGGTTGAAGCCAAGGCCACAACCAGAAGAGAAGACAGAACTGCCCGACATGTTCGTATTCGGAAGAAGGTATTAAACTCAATTCCCTACAATGTATTATGTTAATCTTGTTTTTATTTATATGTGGCAATACAATCTATTCTTTGGGGTCTTGAATTTGTAGTCTAAGTATTCAGAGTTGTACAATTCCCAATTCCTAAATATTGATTTATGTTAGTCTTGTTCTTACCAATATGCTGAAATGCAATCTCTTAATGGGTTCTCGAATTTGTGCTCTATGCATTAAGCATTGTACTAAAAGGGGAGCCTTGACGTAATTAGTGGCAGAGCCAGGATTTTCATTAAGGGGAGTCAAAATATAATGAAATAAACTCACCAAGAAATCAATGGGTGTCAATATATAGTACATACACATTTTTAAAAATTATCCGCTACACAATATAATTTTTCGACGAAGGGGTGCCGATTGACACCCCTTGGATACATGTGGCTCCACCACTGGACGTAACTGGTAAAGTTGCTGGCATGTGACCAGGAGGTCACGGGTTCGAGCCATGGAAACAGCCTCTCGCAGAAATGCAAGGTATGGTTGTGTACAACAAACCCTTGTGGTCCCTCCTTTCCCCCGACTCCGCGCATAGCGTGAGCTTAGTGCACCAGGATGCATTAAGCGTTGTACTAATCCCAGGTCCTAATTGAATTTTTAAAAATTATCCAGCTACACCAGTATAATTTTTCGACGAAGGGGTGCCGATTGACACCTCTTGGATACATGTGGCTCTGCCACTAGACGTAACTGGTAAAGTTGCTGCCATGGTCACGGGTTCGAGCCATGGGAACAGCCTTTCGCAGAAATGCAGGGTAAGGTTGTGTAAAACAGACCCTTGTGGTCCCTCCCTTCCCCCTCCCCCTCTCCCGCGCATAGCGAGAGCTTAGTGTACCGGGCTGCATTAAGGTTGTATTAATCCCAGGTCCTAATTGAATTTGTGGTACAATGGAGGTGTTTAGCTAGCAGAGGAAGCAAAAAAAACCACCTTTCTTAATTGGGGTTTTTTAAGTTTTTAATCTTGTTTTTACCAATATGTGGAATTTGTACTCTATATAGAACTGTAGCAATGGCAGTAAAGTTGACTAGGAAAGCCTCGGAACCATATTTAGCCAAACCGTTAACTTCAAGGAATGAAAGCTTCTCAAGGAGTCCTAGGCAGGCATTACCAACAGCCATGACATACACAAACATCCCAAAAAGCACATGCCAGGGAAGTGAATCGCGTCTAACTTCAGCACTACCCCCAGGGTAGAAGAACACCACAAATCCATAAATCCACTGCAAATTATGCCATCAAGTGATGAGAAACAGCTGTTCATCAGCACAATTCTAATTAAACTGATAAATGAATTAGTGGTATAATGGAGTGTATAACTAGCAGAGCATAACAAAAATCTACCTTTTTCGATTGGGGTTTTCTTTTGGGGGCGTGGAGGGGAGTGGAGAGGATTAATCTTGTTTACCTGTGAAAATGCAAAGCCATTTTTAGCATTTGAGATTGCTTGAAGAAACTTTGATATTGGTCAGACCTGAAAATTGTTCTTTTAGCTAGATGGATCATGTTTGGTGTTTAGCAGCATTACATATGCTTGCTTGAAAAGATAGTTCCTTAAACGCAATGGAATATAGAAAGTCATCAACATTTTGGCACGAAGATGCTTGTTGAGAGAATGGGAGTTGTCTTTTTATATTGATTCCTTAGACAAAGAAAGCACCTCTATTCAAGTGTGTTGAAACTTGAAAAGGATGGCCTCTCTTTTTCCTTGTTGACTTGAGACCTTAAATCTTTTAAATGTGAAAAAATTGGAAAACCAATATATCCGCTTACATAAGACAATTTGCACATGCTTTTATACGTCATATAGACAGGTAATGAACCCTCTATCACCTTTCTCTTTGCTTCCATTTCCACAACTTTTTTTATGGAATACAATTTTTTTGACAGTGGAATAGAATTCTTTTCTTGTTAAACATCTATCTGTGATTGATATGCTACCTGTTTAACTTATTTGACCTGTGGTCACGATCTGGTTTCCCTTTCTTGGTCCTCTTTTTGTTTATGTAAAGTCGCAAATTCTCTTGCACGATTCTTAAGGTGCATTATTCAGCTAGATCAAGTCTACAACACATCTTTTGACTTTCAGGTTGAAGGGACACCTGAAAGACCAAGATTGTGTGTCTTCCGTTCCAACAAGCACATCTATGTTCAAGTAATTGATGACTCCAAGATGCACACACTGGCATCTGCTTCAACAATGCAGAAACCGATCTCTGAGGAATTCGACTACTCCGCTGGCCCCACTACAGTAAGTTCTCAAATATGTTTTCTCAAAAAGGTTAAAAGACATTTTCTTTTAACGACAATGCTTAGAAAAGTATATATTACTATATGAGAGAGTGAGGCAGATCAAGAGATGAAATTCTGAAGAAAAAAAAAACTATGGGAAGGTCCTCCTGAATCAGCTGAATTTGAGTCATGTTCCTAGAATTCAAGGAAACGTTTCCCTTTGTGCTCTGGACTACACATTTTCCTTGTCCTATGTTTTTTATACAAAAACTGGAAAGAGCGAAATCTCTTGAACTGAAAAGTGCTCAAAATACCTGATTCATTTTGCATTAAATACTTAAATTTGGCAAATACATACATATAAAGAATTGAAAGTTTGGTTAGATAGAGGTTGTAAGAAATGAATTATACAAATATATTTTGAATTAGTTCACGACTAAACATGTCCAATAATAAGCTAAAATAATCTTGCTTGTAGTTCAATGATCTCAAGCTACTTTTATCATCCAAAAGAGAAGTAGAGAGCTAGGACTTGAGAAATTTGTACTTTCTTGAGCCAGAAAACTAAATTGGGAGATTCAAAGATATTATAAGAACTACTGACTTTTGGAGCAGAAAAATTAGAGAACTGGCACAACCTGGCAGGAAAACTTCTGCCCAAGTTTTATCACTTCGTCCCTTGTTTGCTGTATAGAAGAAGAAAGAATATACCTCTGACTATCTGAAGTTTTCAATTGTCTGTTGCAGAAAGTTTCAAATTTTACGACAAATACCATCCAAAAATTTTGTTCTCTTTACAATTTACATGATTGCATGTAAATTTATCGGCTTATATTTTCGTAGTGGAGGTGGCATTACAAAAACCTGCCTTCAGAAGAGGACCTTGACTGTAATTTTAGATAACCTGTCCTTAGAAGAGAAAATTTGCTCTTTATATGGAAGGAAGGAATATCCTTTAGAGGCTTTATAGGATTTGTTTGGGGCGGATAACATCCTTGTGAGGCTGGACTTAAAAGATCAGAAGTGAAGTGGGAAGTATAAAGATAATAGTTTAAATCAGAAGATTATGGTAATGCAGATTTAAGAGGGATTATGAGAAGAGCTGTTTGGTCCTCATTATCCAATTTTTGTAGTTCCCGGCAAAGATACATAAGATACTATTGTTGTATTTGTCTTTATTTACTGGGTTTGTTGCTCTTGTAGTTTAAATGCCCTGAGGCTCCATGCTTATAACCTTTTAGAAATGCCATATAATCAATTGAAGTTTACCTTCCCATGTAGTTGATGCATGACTCAATTTGTTCAAGAAGCAGGCCTTTCTTTTCCATTTGGCAAAAAACTTAATTTTGCATTTCCTTTCTTTCTTTCTTTTGGATAGAGGATCTCGTGGATGTAGCTTCTCTTATAGTTCTCATTACAGTTTATTTTCTTATATTGTTAGTGCTGAGTACTGAAACATGTTAATGGCAAGTAGTTTTTGGCACTGTTTATATTGGTTACCATTGCTTTATAACACACTCGTGGCATAAGTAACTACCTTCGCATTATCTCCCTATTTATACATGTGCAGTGTTATGTTCATGGTGGAGTTCTTTCCAGCGATTAGGATCGTGTTGATGCTGTTAGATATTACTCCATAAAATATATACGAACTATCACATGGTTCCGTCAGTTGCAACATTGAAGATTTTGTGTATTTGGTTGATTTCCATTCTCACTTCCAAATTGCATCTCTTTTCTGAACCTCTTAGGCACAGGGAGAACCGTTCCTCTCCTCCATAAGAAAATGATTAAACAAACTAAGAAACAGAAAACAGAAAAACACTTGAAGGGTGAAAATGGACCCGGGGGGGGGGGGGGGGGTTTTT